AAACTACAGTGAAATAACTCTTTGCTTAAACTAGATGTTTAAAATTAAAAAGACATAGCACCAATTTTTAGTGAAAAGGTAGAGTAACGTGGACTGCCATATATTGCTAATGGAGAATAAGATGATACAATCAGTTTCTTCAAATGTAGAGTGCTACAACCACTTCAGTGTATACCCTTGCCAAACGGAAAATGGTATTCTTAAGATCATATGTTACACTGTATGTACATTGTACTGACCAGAAAAGGGGGAGGGGTGTTAATATTCCAAATACACTAATGATTACTAGTTCCTACAATAATCCCCTCCCTTCCTCCCTCTTTTTCTTCCTCCCAGCTTCTCCACCTTCCCTCCCCTTACTTTTTTTGGGGGGTGGGGGGCGGCAGTCCAGCTATGTCAGGTATTGTTTCAGAACAATAGTTAGTCAATTAATGGCAAAGATAATAGAACAAATTTAGTTTCTTCCCTCTGGGAATGAGTCCAGGATAGGCGTTAGACATCCCAGTAACATGACAGTAGCAATGTGATAAATGCTGTAAGAGAGGTGAGAATAGGGGAGCTGCTCACTCCAGGAAAGGCTATCTGAAGGGGACTAGGTGACACCTTGTAAAAGCTTTGATGAATAGGACTGATCCTTAGGTGCGGTGGGAAGGGCTCTCTGAAAAAAGGGGAACAGTGTGTGCAAAAGTTTCAGAAGTAGGTAACTGTGATTAGAAGTGCCAAAAGGTGGCTGGTGGTGGTGGTGGCGGTGGTGGCGGAAGAGGAAAGGGGACAAGTTAGCATATCACAAAGTGCCTCTACCTACCTGCTAAGGAATTTTGGACCTATCCTGAAAAGAAAAGGAATCACTAAAGCTATCATCTTGTCTTCCTAACTAAATTCTTAAATTCCATAAAATCAAGGTCTGTTATTCATCTTTGTATTCTTTATAATGTCTGGCCATGGTCCTGGAATGGGTAGGACAGTGAGTAAGTGTTGATTGATCGCTAAAGCTGTGATAGTCTCTTAGAGTCTTGCATGCTTGATTCAGCCATATTATTAAAATGAAATGAGTCAGAGCAGAGAGACTTTTGGAATGGAGAGGGGGATGTCTATTACACTCTGGGCCTTGTGCCGAGGCATTCCCAGCCATTATCTAATTTAATCTATGTCATTCTTACTTAGAATCTGCCAGTGACCTCAGGTTGCTCTTATGAGAAAGATCAAAGGTCATAGTATCCTTCAAAGCTACTGTTCACTGTGCTGCTTTTTACCTATTTAGTTCCCATTCATCTCTCAGCTTTCGCTTCACTTCCTTGGGACAACCTTCACTGCCCTACCTTTCTCCACAACAGATGGACTGTCAGAGCTCAGCTTCCTGTGTGATCGTATCTTGGTTCATGTGATTATTTGATTTCCTTTCTTCTTGCTCAAGAATATGAGCTCTGTGATACTTTTTTGTCCCTTGCACCTAGCACAATGCCTGGCATTTAATAAACACTCCAAAAAAATTTTGGTTGCCTGAATGAATCTTCGAGAGAATTCTATCAGATTTTTCAGGTGAAGAAACTGAAGTCCAGAGGTTAAGTCACTTGTGAAAGTTTGCATAACCTGTGAAAGCCAGACCTGGAACTCAGGAATGCCTGACAACAATATCCTCTTCTTTCTGCTAATAGACACTCTGTAGGCTGTGAGTGCGGCGGATGGATACAGTTTCATATTTGCATCTGTGCTGTGATTCTACCTACCTGTTGAATGATCAGTAGAATGGACAGCATAGTGGTTAAGGACGTGGGCTCCGTAAACAGCTTAGACTCAAGTTCTCCTCCACCATTTACTAGCTTTATTACCTTGATCAAGGTACTTCATCTTTCTATGATTCAGTTTCCTGGAAGATGGGATAACAACACTCATTTTATCGGATTATTGTGAAAATAAATTAATTCATATAAAATAGTACTGAGCACACAAGAAGTGCTCAATACTTGTTAACTATTACCAATATTCTTTTATTTTTTCCCCATTTTCTTTACATTTTTTTATTTTAAAGAGATTTATTTATTTTATTTATTTTATTTATATGATAGGGATGGTGGGGAGAGAGAAAGAAAGAACATGTGCTGGGGGAGTGGGGTGCTGCAAGGGGAGAGGGGGAGAATCTTAAGCAGGCTCCATGCTGAGCGTGGAGCCCAATGTGGAGCTGGATCTCAAGGCCCTGAGATCATGCATGACCTGAGCCGAAATCAAGAGTCCAATGCTTAACTGACTGAGCCACCCAGGAGCCCCTACTCTGTTTTCTTACTGTAATTCAAAATTATATCCAAAGACCCTATAGCAATTTTTAATTTTTACTTTATGGAAATTCTTTTGTTGCATAAAACCATCTGCTTCTAAGTCCTAGTTCAACTGTGGAAGCATTTTTCTACCTCTAACAGTAAAACATCATAGCATTAATAATCTTTGCTATGAATATCTAGGTTTTAGGATTCACCTGTTTCTTTATACCTCTGCTTGGCAAAAGCATACTGCTGTAGTGTAGTAAAAGATGCAACATGAGTAATGCTGTTTTCTCTCGCAAATCACAAACTTTTCTCCCAAACTAAACACCATATTACTGAGCTGTTTGAATAACTGACCTGACTACCACCCCCCACAAAAAAAAACCCCTAATTGTTGGGAAGTGATTGATGTCACATTATTTTCCTCATTCATCAATAGGTGAGAGCAAGTATGACTTATAGGAAATTAAAAAGGGAAGAAAGAAAAATAATCAATTCACATATATAATAGTTGCATGCCAAAAATCTTAATATTTTTAGCTGTTCCCTCATAATAGAATTTTCTGTAAATATTTTACATTCTTTCCCTGATTGTTCATTGTTAAAATTCTTAACTAGTTTCTTGTGGTAAGAGTGTAATAGTGTGTGGGTGTGTGAGTGTGTATTTTATTGACCTGTTTACCTTGCTCTTAAAAGAGCACCTGATTTAAGTCTAAATGACGAGAGAAATAACAATAGTGCGGCCACCCAGCTACCCGCCCTGTGCCAAGCATTACCCCATACTTAGTCCATGTTGCTAATCTTCACAATAGCCTTGCAAAATAAATGATATGTCCATCCTGGAGATGAGGAAGTAGAGGCTTAATGAGATGAAGAACTTCCCTAGGAAGCTTGCACCTTATCAGGCCCTGAGTGGCTGGGCCGTGGAGGGAGGTACAGGTGTTAACAGAATAGGGCAGAAGGGATAACCAGAAGCAAGCCTGGCAAAGTAAGTTGGGATTTTATTTATTTTAAAGATTTTATTTTTTTTATTCATGAGAGACATACAAAGAGAGGCAGAGACAGAGGCAGAGGGAGAAGCAGGCTCCTCACAGGGAGCCCAATGTGGGACTCGATCCCAGGATCCAGGGTCATGACCTGAAACAAAGGCTCATCCACTGAGCCACCCAGGAGCCCCTGAGTTGGAGTTTTAAATCAACAGTCTCAAAGGCAAACTGAGGATCCCCACTGCTTTAATGAATTCTGAGTGTACCATAGGAAGGATGGGAAAGGCAAGGAGGAACAGTGGGGAGGCTATTGCCAGGAACCATGGAGTGGTTATGAGAGCTTAAAGTTTGGGTGGTTTCACTGGGAATCAAAAAAAAAAAAAAAAGGAAAAATCGTGACGCTTTTCAAGAAAGAAATAACAGGACTTGATAAATGGAGGTAGGAGTATGAAATGTGAAGCCCGTGTCTAAGTGGTAGAATTACATGTATATACCATATACCAAAGCATTCAGAGGGGGGACGTGTTTATGCTCTCCAAGGATCTCAACCTCATTGAGCCTTATTATACAGCATCTTTTTATTATCTTACACCCAACAGTCTGCACCCTCAACTAGATAATTTTCCCTATAGTAATAGAAATGTACCAGATGCTCAATACCAGTAACACAGACCAGGGATGATTGAGTTATAAAATGCCAATAGCTTTTCTCTAAGCACTTTATATTCATTATCCTCTTGTTGTTATTCATTAGTTATAGGTGTTTGTAGATTGCCTTCCCTTAGTGTCCAATCTAAGCTGCACTCCACTGTAAAATTAATGTTCCCAGACACTGATCTGAGAGGCTGAGTCTGGGTTCTGGAGTTTGACAGCTGCAGGCTGAAAACCAGCCCCATCTTTACCAGGTGTGTGGTCTGGAACAAGCTACTTACCCAAACTCCCACCTCAACTTCCCCCAGCTGTATTACAACAGGCATTGTTACTACACGAGAATGTAATAATGAGTGGAACTCAGGTTTGTTGTGGGAACCAAGACAATGCCTACACAATGCTTGGCCCATAAAGTGGTGAATAAATCTTAGTGGGGTTTGCAGCAATGAAGATGCCATGCGCTTGCTCATAACCTTCATTTGCTCTCCTTGGTCAAGAGAATAGCTCCTTTATTCTGACATTTAAGACTTTTCACAAACTGGTCACTCTCCACCTCCCAAACCTTTTAAGTGATGATTCTCTTTGCATAATTCCAGTCCTCAGCTAAGCCGGTCACTGTCCCCCAAACACACCTAGTCTGTTCTCGCAATCTCTGCCTTTCTGTTGCTGTCCTCCTCTCGTCGTGTCCATGTTCTTCAGGTCCCGCCTGATACTCAGTGTTTGTGGAGCCTCCTCCCACAATCCCGCCCCTGTAGTATGAGTAATCCTTCCAAGCATTGGAGCTCTGATGGTCTTTAATGTTCCCTGGGCCCTTTACAGAAGCACACACTGGCTCAGGGCCTTCTGTCTGTGCTCAGCCCACTTTACCACATCCTTCAATAAGTGTGGGGCAAGCCTTGTTATTATTGCCATGCTCAGCCCCACGCCAGGGATATATGCTTTCTTAGTGGTGGCAACATATACCTTACCTTCTCAGTCTTTTCCAAGTTCACTGAAATGTATGTTGGCGCTTTTTTTTTTCCCTTTTCCCTAATTGGTGCTGATAACCTCTCCTATAGGAATGGCATTGAATCTATGAAATACTAATTACTATTTTTCTTCTCAGGATGAACTTGACCTGACAGACAAACATAGGGAAGCCATGTTTGCACTTCCAGCTGAGAAAAAATGGCAAATATACTGTAGCAAGAAAAAGGTAAGAAATTCATTATGTTTATGGTTAAACTGGAAAATTATCATTTTTCATGCCCTTTGCTCCCATTTCACTACCGAAATTCAGACCACTCTTTGTAACATACAAACCAGATTGTGGCCTGGTAGCTACACTTGGCACCGTGCCAACACCATATCCCCCCACACCTGTAACCATTATTTCTAATTCTATGCAGCTAAGACCCAGAATAATAGTGGCGTATGCAAAAATCAAAGTTCTCCCTCTATCCTTTACATAAAAGTTGTTATCTTGGTAGATTGAGTAGTATTCTGGGTCCCAGTCCTCCTTTCCCACCTGCTAGCACCTTTCCATTTCAGCGCCTTTAAGGCGTGGCTTTGTCCTCATGGTCCAAGGATCTCTCTGGCCATTTCATATTCCAAACTAAGGAAAGGGGAAGAAGGCACAGACTTCTCCACCTCCCCTCGTAGGGCCATGTCCTGGGAGTCGTCCACCTGAACTCTCCTCACATCTCACTGTTAGCTACATGGCCTCACCTGCAAGGAAAGCAGTCTTTATTCTGGTTCTCTTACCTTTGGAGAAGGGAGAATGGATGTCAGCACTCATGGTGCTAGGCATTACCCCATGGACTGTATCTCCTGCAATAGAGTTCCCTCTGCCATCTTTAAAACTGTGGAACTAATCAAGTTCTTGGCCATCTTTTGCCATCTTTTCTTCTGTTCCAATAGAAACTTGAATCAAGATGGGATAAGCAGGAAGGGCAGGCTATGCACCCCAGGGAAATGTTACCTCTCTCTAAAGCAGTAGACACTCTTGCCTCCAAGGAAATAAGAATAAACTGTAGCAATCCAATTTCTTTTCAAGACACAGTTTCGATCGGAGAAATCTTTTTTTATGTGACTAGCATGCATTTTGAGGCCAGTTGCCCACGTGACTGTCTCAGCACCACTGCCTCTTTGCTGCCTTGTATGGTTGCCGTGCCATACTTTGCAGGAACATCTCTGTAATAGTGAGCCTCCACATGTCCCTCTCTAGCCACACTTTGTGCCTCTGTGGGTGAGGCATCATGCCTTAACTCATCTTTGTAACTCCAGCATCAGACACATTGAAATAAGTGTATGTTGAGTGAATGACTAAGTTATCATTAGTGTTATGTTGAACTGTCAGAAAAATGTAAAGCACGATTAGTTTTCCCCCTGAGCAGTTACAATTGATGAAACTATGTGTGGGGTTTGGTTCTGGGGGCCTTTGCTGAGAGATGTGTCCAGCTGTAACTTCTCTTATGATTTCTGAGTTGCTACCAGGTCAGACCAAGTTGTAGTCTTAAGGATTTCTAATCTATTGTAACCAGGAAAATGTGTTTGTGAATGACTATGTCCTCTTTCCCTTTTGTACATGTGTCTTTTTTGTTGAACTGATTGTCATGGCTCGGGAAACAGATATTACACACTGGGAAAGAATTGTAAATTAAAAATAAGTGTTCAGTTCTGAAAGTGATGATATTGTATATTCTTTGAAAACAAGGGACCTTTTCACGAGGCCATCTTAAAGACTTAGCCCCTGGAACTGAGCAGGAAAAATCTTTAAGTGCCTGTGTGTACGTAGGACATTGCCTATTTTGGCTCATCCAAATGCTGAGTTTTTTTTCAAAATTAGGAAACAATATGAAGTGAGGATTGAGAATCTATACACTGGAGGAAAGGAAAGGGCAGGAAAAATGGGAGCAGCTTACTGAGGGGAAAGTTTTCTTCTTTCCCAGATTTTATTACACCCTTGACAGCAGTTGAAAGTTAATCATGGAAACTACTGTCCCTTAGATTAGAAAAGGCAAACCCTGGAGGATAGTAATGACCTTGGACTTGCAGCTGCTGCTCATTTTTCAATTTCCAGGCCTATCAAATCCCCTAACAAACCCTGTCTCATGTGCGCACGGTGAGGTTGCCTTTTTGTTGGAGGATAGATATGGATGTGGCCACTGGCCTCAGAATCCCATTTCTTGACGGATGGGCCCTTCCTACTATTACCTGGCCAGACTGCACACATCTTTGAAAATGCAGTTTTCCTGCTAGCTTTGTTCCTCAGCCTGGACTCCTTATGTGACAGCCAAATCGTGGCTGAGTAGGAAAGCCATTTTAACTCTAGGGATTCCCATGGGTCATAGATCTGCCTCACTTTAAAATGGATGATAATGTTGCTAAATTAAGGATTTTCTTTTTTTTTTTTTTTAATTTTTTTATTTATAAATTAATTTTTATTGGTGTTCAATTTACCAACATACAGAATAACACCCAGTGCTCATCCCGTCAAGTGTCCCCCTCCGTGCCCGTCACCCATTCACCCCCACCCCCCGCCCTCCTCCCCTTCCACCACCCCTAGTTCGTTTCCCAGAGTTAGGAGTCTTTATGTTCTGTGTCCCTTTCTGATATCTCCCACACATTTCTTATCCCTTCCCTTATATTAATTAAGGATTTTCTTGATCAGAGCTTCTCAAAATGTTAAAAGTCTGCTATGTGTTTGGTCTGAAACTGACCTTTTGGGGTACTATAATAGGGAAATAATACAATGCATAAGAAAACAAAAACCTAAGTGTGAAAAGGGCATGATGTTTACCTCACTTCATGCAATGTGATCTCCTAAGGGAAGGTTGCCCATTCTCAAAATGGAGCACATGGTGGCCATCTTTACGCCTAAGAACACATTGTTTTCCTTGGACTATATCTTAGGTAGCCTTTTCAAATCAGGCTTGTCATCAGCAAGCCAAACCACATCCCTTTCTCAGGCCAAGGGAAAGTTACACACTCATGGCTTCTTAGGTTTTTCTATCTCTCAAGATTAGAACCCAAGGCATTACAGACATTCTCACACATAGTGAAGCCATAGAGTAAGGGCTCATGAAAGCCAACAGAAACAGACACATGAGTTGGTGAAAAGCAGACTTTGTGTATAAAAGTGCACAGCAGTTGTGGAGGCAAATGAGACTGGGAACTGATGATGGGGCCAGGCCTTCCTTCGCCAAGTGGCTGTTTTCCACCCAATGGTGACTTGAGCCCCGGCAGCAGCTGTCTGCTTATCAAGCTCTGTGCTTGTTTCTCACACTTGCCTCTATCTACATCTCTAGCTGAAAACCCATTTCCAGAGCCAAAATGAGAGCAGCAAAAGTATTTCTGGGACTAAAAGAATTGGAAAGAAATTAATTGGAGGTTTGCCTAATTGAGTAATCCGGGGGAGAGTAAGAGATGGATGTTGCAGCCTTGTTGAAAGTCCAAACAAATCTATAAAAAACAACTGGACTGGTTGGTCAGTCATGGTTTGTCATGTAGCAATTCACTGTCAAATTTTTTAAACTTTCGTGAAAGGACCACAGAAAGGTCCTGTTGGTGGAGCTGGAGGTATTTTCAAATAGGAAATGTTTGTGGTTCTTATCTTTAAAGGTAATTCCCTTTTTCGTTCCAATCACAACATACTCTTTTGTTTAAGTGAGGTTTTTCCCAGTCTCTAGCCAGAAACTGCATCTGTTAACAATCTTTTGGATTTTAAACTGAAACTTTTTAAACAATGAACCATCTGACCACAAAAGGCATCTGGCCATGCTGTATTTGCTTATTGTTAACATGATTTTTAAACCCTGGGAAAAGTAAGAGAGGGCTTTGGAGAGAGAATAAAATGGTGTGTACACTGTATCATGGCGACAGCGATCTTATCAGCACTGGCAGAAATCTTTAATTGCAGTTCTTCACAGGAGCAATTGCACTAGTTTGTCACTCTCCCATCCCTTATACATATCCAAAAAATACTTGCTCCCCGTCCTTGAGCTTCCAAGTTTAAAGAGTAGGTGAATGGTGTTTATGCACTGTTAGCTGTAGTGTCATCAGGTATTTGAGGCAAAGATCAGAATTTGATGAGTGCACCAATTTCTTTCCTTTTGTTTCTGATCTCAAAAGCCAAGTTTTAAGTAAATGGCTTTGGATTCTTCATATTGCATTTCTGCATCTTTTCAGGTCATCTGTGGAGAAGGTGAATTTTTACTCTGCTGCTGAGTATGTGTTTGACTGTAGTTTAATTAAATCCTTTAAGAATCTTACCTAATCTGGCTGCAGTGGAGTTGTGATTTGTGCAAAGTGCTGATCTGGTGCCAGGTACATTCTGAAGACATCTAGGAAAAGTGGCTGAAAATTCAGTTGATACTTTTCATTCACTCCCTTCATTTGCTTTGCATATCCTAATTGGACCATTTCCCCACTCTTCTCCACAAAAAGCAATTCTCCTTTCACCACACACACACAAAGATTAAAATTCTATTGTGTACAGTCATCAGGATACTGTTCTTTCAGTTCCTTGAGAGCTGAGACCCTCCTGCATTTAAAGGAACATATGCTAAAGTGGTAGAATTAAGACAAAAGGAACCATCAGCTTTCTAAACAATTGTCAAAGAAACAAGCTGTGAAACAAGGAGGTGAGATGATACGTTTATCCTCTAGTTGTTCCCAGTATCCTAATGCGAAGCAGTGGTTGGGCACTAGACCTGGAAGACCTGAGAAGGAAGAGAAGCTAGGTATCCTTTCTTTACTATAATTGTTTAAACATACAGACCTTTGGGTTTTCAAGTATTCACTTTGTTAGCTATCAAGATTTCGGAGAGGAAGTCAATAGAAGGGCAGCAACTAGATTTCAGTAATTATATTTCTAGACCTTTCAACAAGTAGTTGGGTTGGTTTCCTGCCATTGAGTTTTCACCTGATAATGGATTTCAGTTGGCATTTGTACTCCTAAGTGCTAAGGGGTTGAAGACAGTGGTACAAGTAGAAGTGATCAGAAATCAGATTGGGCTGTCTTTTGCTCTCTACTTCTCTAAAGAATAGATGAGGGAAGCACAGTAGCTGGAGCGCAGTGGCTCTGCAAGCTCTGAGACTCTCTGCCTTATCTGCATATTCCTTGACTCTGAAAGAGGAGGATTTGTATGTAACTCCTTACCAAACCATTAAGAAACAACTAGCCTGGAGTACCTGGGGCCTCACGCAGGAAGT